GGCTCCACAATCAACACTCTGGGCACCAGCAGCTAGGAAATTAAAAGACGAATTGCATTGGGAATGTTTGCTGTCAGGGACCTCTCCAAAGTACAAAAGTGCAATGATGGCAGTCTGGAGACTAAGGTGCACCTAATCCAGGCCACAATCTTTGCAATTACTTGCTATGTGCCAGAAAGCTGGGCAATGATGACTAGGGATGAGAGAAGGAGAAGCGATACCTTTGAGCTGGATAAGAGAGTTGAATATACCATGGACTGCTAGGAGAACAAACAGGTTCATCCTGGATAAGGTAAACCAGGCTGCTTCTTGGAGGCAAGGATTCTGAAGCTTCGTCTGACATACTCTGGACATGCTGCAAGGAGAGACCAGTCCTTGGAGAAGGATGTCCTGCTTGGGAAGGTGGAGGGACAGCCCAAGAGAGGAAGACCTTCAATAAGATGGACTGACTCAGTGACTAGGGTAATGGGGGGAAGATGTGTCAGAGACAATAAGATTGGCACAGGATAGAGCAAGGTTTAGGGCTGTTGTACATAGGAATACTATGAATCTCAAGTGACTTCACGGCACATAATAACCACCACCACTACTCCAGTAAGACCTCATTAATCTAACATAAGAAAATCCTATCACCAAACAGATCACATTCACAGGTGTTTAAATGGCTCAGCATGGGCTGTGTCAGGCTACTAACCCAAAGGTGGTCAGCTCGAATCCCCCACTGTTCCACAGGAGAGAGATGGCCAGTCTTACTCGGGTAGGATTTTCAGCCTTGGAAACCTAATGGAGGGCCGTTGGGAGTCAAACTCCAAGGCAGTGGGCTGGTTACTTCTTTAAAGTAGCATAGTGATCTGAGCCAGAAACTTGGAAAGCATTCTCCACTCCTTTTTCTCTTTTCCCTTCTATTCCTAATGAGTGACAAAATCCTATCCATTCTACTGCTAAGTGTCTTTGGATACATTTTCCTTTACTCTGTGCCAGAGATATTTGGGGCGGGGGGGGGGGGAGAATGAGATTTGGGGCACTGCCCAAGTTGTTTCCTGCCTCAACTCTTGGCATTCCTTAACTAAGAGTCTGTCCAGCCCAGACCACTTGTTATAGCTAATAAGAGAATCAAACATAAATAAAACTGAGCTGATAATCCTGCCTCTTCACACAGACTCTATACAAACAGAAATGACATAAAAACTGCAGGGTTGGGAGGGACTGGAGAGTACAAATAGATAACCAGTAAAATGTATCTGAGGATCTAAGTGGGGGAGGGAGAGGGGCAGATATGGGTGGGTGTAATCTTTGGGTTGCACAGTCTGATGGGTGGAGGGGAGACTGGATTGGGGAGGGGAGGCTGTGAGGAACAATGTATGCAAACCTTATAGGTAAACCAGTGTACAATGTAAAAACTAACAATAAGGAAACCTGCAGTGCCTCAGTCCTCCTCTGTTCTCCCTTTATGCTCCTGTTTAATTGATGTTAATGACTTACAATTACTATTTGCTACTCTGAACAGGTAGAAAAAAACAACACAAAACTGCTCCAAAATCAAAGAATTAATGTGTTAGCCACTGAAGCATTTAAAAACATTTCGGCGTGAGGGAAAATCATCTTTACATGCCACAATTATTTGGGGTGGGGGGAATTAGAAATGTTTCAGGCTGAATGACTAAAAAGCCTTTTAGGTAAGTAACCTGGTTACCAGGTATCTGTTCACACCCAGCTGGCTCCCGGCCCCACCAACATACGTGAGTGTAATGTTACCTTGCCTTCTTCACCTGCAAATCTTCAGGCAACATGATTTTGAGGTGGAAGTCTCTTCCCTGTAGATAACAGTAAGGAGGTTTATTCAATTTGAAACTTTCATCTTGTACCCAAAGCTAAGGGAAATAAGTTAAATGTGGACTTAAACAGAAAAGCCTTCATTTTCTTTTCATTTTCTAAAACCTACCAACCCTGTCCCAACTTGGATGCTTATTGAAAGCCACAAAATATCACATTTGAATGAAAACAAGTAAAAACAATTTAAAAATGTATTAATTATTGAGAATTTAAAGTAGCTTCTAACTTCTAGAAAGAAAGTCATATAACTTCTAGAAATACTGGGAAATGGTTAATATAAACATAGAACAAACTTTAATGTCATTTCTTGGGAAATAATTTCTAAAAAAAAGAAAGTTTCTTCAAACTGAGACAAAAAATTAAACTATGAAATCAGAATATATACGCTTCATATTTCCAATTTCTTTTCTATACTTTAATAATAACAATCTAGTTATGTAATCTAAATAAACAAATACTTCTACAAATAAGTCTATAACTCTCTCATACTTGTAGACTAATAATAAATAAATTACTATTATTAAGTTGTAGTAACAGGAAATTACTAGAAATTCAAGCCAGATTCAGAACAAGAAATGGAGCAAGGGTTATCACTGCTGAAGATGGACAAATTCTGGCTGAGAGCAGAGGATACCATAAAGACGGTGATCTGTATTTTACTGATGATGTGGAAGTATTCAATTGTGTGATTCTTAACAAGATATGAACACATTGTGAAGAAGTGAAACTTCGGAACGTTGACCTATACTCATGGAACGTGGAAAGACACCAAGAAACAGTCATCAGTATTAAGCCATGGGATACTGCAAGATTTAAAACCAGGAAATCTGGTTTAAAAACAGAAAAAGTGTGCATCAGGGTTGAATCATTTCACCATACTTATCCAATCTCTATCCGTAGTAAATAATCCAAGAAGCCAGACTATATGAATACCAGGATTAGAAGGAGTACACTGGCAACTTGCAACATGCAGAGCACACACCCTTCCCTGCTAAAAGCAAAGATAACTTACTGAAACTAACCAAAGGCCTTCAGTAAGCAACATAAAGAAAACAAAAATCCTCACCTCTAAACCAACACATAATATCATAACAAATGGAGAAAATATTGATGTTATCAAAGATCTCATTTTACATGGTCCCTTCATCAACACCTAGAAAAGCAGCAGTCAGCAAATCAGACAATAGGTTGCACTGGGCAAAAGGCATCAATGTTAAAACAGCAAAGATGTCACTCTGAAGACTATAATACACGTCTCTCAAATTACTATATCTCCGATCACCTCCTATGTAAGTGAAAGCTAGACAACGAACAGACCAAAGGATGCCTTTGAATGACAGTACTGGCATTGTCCCTTCAACTCAATAAAGAAAGTTAAACATACCATGGACTGCCAGAAAGATGAACTAGCCTTCTTGGTAGAAGCTTAGAAGCGAGGCTAGAGAGACTGAGTAAAGACCTATTTTGAACACATTATCAGGAGGGTATC